CTCTTCCGGTTATCCTCCTCTTCACCTTGCTTATCTTTCTCCGCTTCAGACTCTTCCAAGCTGGTGCGCTTGAACTTGATAGGTTTGAAGCTTAACACTTCATTAATTGCAGCCTCCAGGTCAGGGTCCAGGTAGTTGCGGTGACTGACCGGCTTGACGTCCGAGACGTCAGGCGGGTTGGAGTCAGTGGTCCGGGCTTGCGGAGGCATGGAGAAGCTTCGGCCGGAGGTGGAGTGAGGGCCGTAAGCACTGGAGCGAGCCTCGCTGAATGCTGTGCTTCGGGCATCATCGTCTATGTCAAATTCACTGAGGCAACAGCTGCGAGACAGTGACATGCGGGAGTCGGCACGGCTCACGCTTCCTGGGCTGCGCCGACTCAGGCTGGGGCTGATGGGTGAACCGTATTCACTCTGGCGATCATCAAGACGAGGCATGCTCAGACGCCAGCTTACTGAAGTCATGCGACTCACGCTGGAAATAGCATCGTCATCTAGGTCCATCGCAGTACGGCAGGTGGAAACCCGGCTCGGGGCTACAGAGGACACAACGGACTCCTTATCAAACTCAGACCAGCGGCTGTCCATGCCCTTCCTTGCCCGACTGGCCGCTTCTGAGTAGGCCTGAGAGATGACAGAACCGTGATCGTGAAGATCATCTCCTGCCTTTCTCCAGGAGTTGACAGAATAGGAGTCATCCTCAGCTTCCTGCTTGGCTTTGTTCTTGCGGAAGGAGGAGAGGTCCTGGGAATCAGATTGTTCTTTGAGGGTGTTGAGGAGCGAACTTTCGTCTCCCTTACCTCCTATGGAGTCCTTCATGTTGGAGCGTTTCCTGTAGCTGAGGGAACTCATGACAGACACAGGCCTGCTGTGTTCTAACTCTTTACCTTTGCCACTGTCTTTCCTTTCTTTACCCTCTTCCCACTCTTTTCCCTCCTTTCCATCAACAGTTACAGCAAATCTAGATGAAGAAGGGGCAGACGGGGTGTGCACAGAGTAGAAAGACAAACAGATGGCGGGAGGAGAGGATAGAGATGGAAATATGAGAATGAGAAAATACATGAATAAAAAATTAAAAGATGACTGACACCCAAAGAGAGAACTAACAGTACAGGTTTATCCAAGCAGACAGGGTAGAATATAGATGAAAGTTTGATGTGACGGCAGGGAATACAAGGCACTTAATGAAGACTCTTAAGCTTCTGTGATTCAAAATCAATAGTTAATCCATAAGCTCAGGTATCTACATATAAATGTGGACAAAAAGATCCTTTTAGGTGGACATGTTTCAGGTAATTGCATAAAAACGGATACTGACAAAGACTATAATTCCCTTTACAGGATGATTTATGCTAGAAAATGTTAATAAAAAATTACAGAGTGTAATCTGTAACCAATTTCCCATAAAACTGCACCTTACAGAAACTATGCATCAAAAGTTCAAGGTTTTAAAAAGATGCAAGAACTTCAAGAGCCAAACTTAAATCTTCTTGTAAAAAGAAAAAACAGGGAAAAAAATCAAAAGTGTCTGCCGGTGGGAAGACATATTCATCTTCAGCAGAAAGGCATAGGTTGGCTTGCCAACTGGCCAGTGGGCATATCCATTAATCTGCCTGTGAAGCCGTTCCCTTTTATATAAGCCTCTGTTATCAAACTGCTGACAATGGGGAGAATAAACTAGAAAATACCAACAGAAAAATCCCTTAGCGTTAGCTAATTAGCTTTTCCAGACACCCTTTTCTAGCTTGCTGCATTGGGTTTGGGTTAAACCATTCTGTGGGGTAACAGGGGGAAATGAGGTTGCAGGACTGACCTTGAGCTCTTCAGACTACCATCATCTGACAGGTTCTTGGCAGAGCCCTTGTTTTTGGACAGCCATGACTTTACCCCGTCAACGCGGCCCTCCACCTCAGAGTCGGTATCAGAGGCGCCCTCGCTGTGCAGAAGGAAGAGAGGGAATGTCAACAAAATGAACAAGCAGAGTTTGTACATAAATACTGTTAGTAGGAGGAACACAGGGATTTGCGGTGGAGACACAACAGTACGGAAACATGTGCCCGCACTCTAGAAACCTGGAAAAAGCCTACGTGTTAGTAAGTAAGACTCATAGTCCAACAACAGTATCCTGCAGCTAGCTGGCTTTGTTTAATGTGTGAAGCATCCAAAAGGGTGAGGTCAGTACAACTCCAAGCCAAACCAGAAGAAAGGAGAGCATTTAAAAGAGAAAAACCATTCAGACTGTGGCTTACCAGACAATAGCTCTGTTCTAAAATCTAGCTGGCTGCCTGCGGAGGCAGCATTTTAAGGGATCATTAACATGCTCCTAATTTTAGGTGCACATATGTAGGCAGTTGGCGGCTAACTAGCCATTGAAACAGCTAAATAAAAATACTGTGATGCATAGTTGAATAAAAGCTGAATTAGGAATTATAGGTAGTACAAAGCTTGTGAAAAATCCTCCTTTATAAAAAGAAGGCCTTCAGGCTAATTTAGCCTTGGACTACCATGTTAAAGGACAGTATGAAGGAACGGGCCATTTTGGGACTGCAATTAACTTGACTCACTATGCTACCAATACCATGCATCTCTGGATACGAATGGGTTTTGTGGGGAAGTGTTGCGCTGTCAATAAGAACGAGTAAACACAGGCCGAATGTCCCTGGGAGCAGATGCATTAGCACCTCACACGGAAAGCAGCACTGTGAATCCCAGTCCTGTTTGCTCATTTCTCTGGACCAGATAAAACCATTGGATTTATGTTTGGCTGGATTTGCAAGTCAATGCTTCCCTGCCTCTTTAGATTAGTCTTATCCTTCACTTATCGCACAGCACACCGTACTGAATAACTATGAATCGCCCTTCAAGGACCTAGAGCGCTAAAACGTCTCCATATATGCACAGACAGGAGACCTTTAAAGAAGATTTCTTTCGAACTGGGCCTTTTCTCACAATTTTGTTTCAATTTAAATTTTAATAATCATTGTTATTGTCCTCCAGCACCGTTGGGAGTCAAATATCTCCCAATGAAATTATACTACATACAGTAGCTCATTATCCCAGGCGTAGAGAGAAGGTTAACTCTGAAGCAGCAGCTGCTTTTCTCTGACATTAGAGTTCCGGACTGCTTAGCTCTCCGTTTGTGGTATTATGCATATGAGAATATTATATATGCATGGACCCACGAGACAGCGCAGATGTCGCTAAACACTAACTGTACGCTCACAGTCAGGGTGCTAGAGAGGGTCTAAATTAGAAGATCTGATACACTCAAGAGAAAACACTCAGGACAAAATAATTTGTTGTCAAACGAGTAGTGCTCCGTCGATACGGGCAGGCAACTTACGAGTGCCAAAGTATGTATTTCTTCAAGAGCCCTTTTGGCTCTTGCGTAAGCCCTAGTGCCCTGGAGGTAAACCGAGGTGAGAACGTTGTGTGAATAAGCCTTGAGCTCTGCTAGCCGGCCCATCGCTAAACAGTGGGACTGCAGGGTCTTTGTAATGAAGCGCTAATGCAAAATGTCACACACAATTTATGTCCTTGACCATATACCATTAGTTAAGCTGCACCTAAGCCCAGGGGAACAAACAAACAACACCATGAGAGAGGAGAGACATTAATTGTCTGTGACAACGTGCCTCCATTGGTTGTACATCTCTGTTACAGGCTATTACATTTATCATTAGTACCTACAGAACTCTCTCAACCCCTCTATTTTGCTCTCTAGTCCGTCTCTCTACTCTGTTTTCTCTCTCTATCCCCGCGCGCTCTCAAGCCCTCACCCTTAAACGGGGAGAATTTGGACTTTTATATTGTGCAACAGTTTCCTGGCATTGTCTCTGACAATTTCTTTAATTGTATATGAACTCAAAACATGTCTAACATCTGTCTAAACATGAAATAACTGAGGGGAAAAAGGAATAGTTCCTAAAAAATTAAAGCTATGGTTATTATTTACCCTCATGTCATTCCAAACCAACATGACCATCTTCTGTGAAATTCAAATAATTACATTTTTCAAAACCACAAATACAAAGAATGGGAACTGGGGCTGTTAAGCTGCAAAATGACAAAAAAGAACAATAAAAGTGACATAATATATAAAAAATACAACTTGGGTACAATATTCTAAGTCTTTTGAAATCATGATAGCTTTGTTTGATTAACAGACAGCATGGGCTACTACCGTTTTATTATATTTTACTATGCTTTTGTGTCCTTTCTGAACATACTAATGCAAAATTAACAATACTTGAAATTTATGTGACTAATTGCAATTCATTTAATTAACCACTTAATGATTCAATTATTAAATCGATTGAGAGCTGTACTTTAATATTTATGATATCAATGTGAATAACATTTCCCTTCATGCAAAATGCCTCTTTACATGCATGTCTGCACTGTATCTAAACCAGGATTATAGTTAACTAAAACTAAAACTATGAAAAACATTTGTTAATTGAAATATAGCTGAAAATAAAATATAAATATTATATGAAAAGGTTAAACTAAACAGAAATTTAAAATGTAACTGAAAAAAGTTAGTTGAGAAATAAATACTAAAATAAAAATAAATTAACCTAAATATAAAAAAATGACAAAAGCACATAAAATGTAACTAAAAATAAAATGAAAACTAAAAATATGAAATAAAAGCGAATTAAAAATATGAATAAAAACTTCAGTAGTATATATAATGCTAAAATAACACTGACACACTAAAAACTCTTATTCCGTTAGAATGTAATTAGGTGCATCTACTCTGCACGTTTTAGTTTTAATGTTTTATGATTCATTTATGTTCTGGCACTTATAGTTAGTCACTAAGACACTGAATTTTCCCGTCACTGATTAACCAGAAAATCTTCATAAATATTTCAAATCATTCATGATATATTGTAAACACAATTTTTAAATCATGTCACGGAGTAGAATATACGCTCATGAAAGGGGCCGAGGAACAGTGCTCCTAATTATATCTCATTTCAAAATATCTGTTCTCCTCATTTGTCATTTGTTATGCCCTGTCTATTCTCTCATATGCTCTGGGAAAATCAGACTAATCAGTTCTCTACTAATGTTCTCCACTAAGGTTTGTATTTAGCTAACAAACCTCTTGAAGCCAGTCTAACTTACAATAAAGCAACAAGAACTCCCCAATTAAATGATCAGGCCAGAAGGGTCAACATCCCTGCATGAACTCAAACAAACATTTCTGCAATGGCACATCCATCTAAACCTGATCAGTAATGCACAGACTGGCATTAGCTTTTAATACTTTCTCACATGATGTAATAAGTGGTGCTTAGAGCTTAAGGGTTTTTAAAACTACAGTGCGGACCGAGGACTATTGACAGGGGAATGAAATGGCTCGACACCAAGGGCTGGTACTTTGTTGTAGGCCGTTGCCAGATGAGTTGGGGGGCTTTTTGTAGGACATTTGAGGGTTATTCATTATTTAGCCCTCATGGTTGAAAGATTGATGAAGAACACGCCTTCCTTTCCTGCCTTAAGAGGCTGCTAAGTCCCAAGAACAGAAGTGTGAATTATTCAAAGGAACGAGAGGGAGAAAGAGAGGTAAAAGAAGGCCAAGAAGGAGGGAGGGCAGAGCAACCCCTCGCAGATGTTTATACAAGGCCCTGCAGCGTCCAACAAGTCTGCATGTGGACCCTTCTGGCTCTCGAGTTAGACAGCCAGGGGATAGACCACAGTTTGGACCCTACGGACATGTAACTAACACCTGCCTGCTCTCAAAATGGCTCTTAGCCGTCAATGGACGCCAGTCCCAATGATGAAGCACCAGATATCCAAAAGTTCAACATTACAAAGCAGGGGTTCAGGGAAAGGGAATCGTCTCTGGGGAGGGTAACTGAGTAGGGACCATGCTTGGCTTAGAAAAAGCATGCAGTTTGTAGTACGCATACATTATGTATGAGGCATTGTGCATAAAAAAGGAGAAAACCATGTTTGTGATGTTAGTTGTCATGCCCGGAAGTGTGTTGCAGTATCAACATGATGCTTCTAGTCTTTTCTTGAGTCGAAATCGAGATTTACAATACAGAATATTCCCTATTCTGTATTTAATTTCTCGAAAATGACTGCATGGTATTGTATACTGCATCATCTTCCTGTGAGGGCAAAGGAGAATTCAAATGTTAACGTAAGTTCAAACTTTAACTCCTCACATCTTGTTCTTTCGTTTCTGATACTTAGTCACCATGTCTTGTAAACTGGAGGTGGGAGGGAAATGAGACACAAACATAAAAAAACAAGAAGCAGAAATAAGTGAGTTTCAAACGGAAAAGTAAAGAACAATGGATGTAAGAAGAAGAAAAAAGTCACAGTCTTAAAAACACAGCTTGAGATTGAATATTTATCATGTCTGGTGTAAAGGTTTCTAGCGCTACATATTGCTCAAGATGTTTACCTAGAATTCTGACCTTTTGCTGACTTCTGCTCTGTGTAACCCTTACGAAGTGAGAGTTTGGTGCTATTTCCTGTTATTTGGGTGACTGGAATTCTTCTACGCACATAAACGAGCAAATAAACTCAGCTCTGCGCAGTAAGGTGCAGGTCACTGAGAGAAGCGGAGCGGCGCGGAATGAGGCTGAACAGAGATGACTTCCTCTGACTGATGAGGCCAAGTACATAAAAAAGGAGCTCCAAATTATGTGCGGCAGTTTTCGAGGCATAAATATTTAAGAGAGTGTGAATAAGAGATGACTGAGACTGAGACTGGCTCGCTGATTGCCGTCTCCAAAAGCTCAGTGAACAGTGCATTCATCCAGATAGTGTCTTCTCTCTTTTTCTATCTCTTTTTTTACCCACTTATACACATGAAGAAGCTCTCCTGAGGTATGCATTAAATAAAGAGTCCTCAAAGCAGCAAGTGTTACCTGTTGATGAGATCCTCATTGTCATCACTCTCCATCTCATCCTCAATAGCAGCCTGGAGGTCTCCGATCCTCTTGAAGGCCAGCTTGAGATCCGCCTGGAGACTATGGTTGGCTGCTTCCAAACTCTCAATATCCATTTCCTGAAGAGACAGGGTTAGATTTCAGTCTAACTAAGAGGCACTCGTTTCTGCCCATTTCTACATTTAGATTACTTTTGCTATGGTCATCTAACATTCCCATAAAGGTATTATTAAAAAAACAGTAATAATTTAAGAACACTGTTAAGTGTAATCTTTTATGAATCTTAGAGTGAATATCCATTTTTCTCACGGTACATCAGTGTTGTTACTGTTAACTAAAATATCAAAAAGCTGAAAAAATATAAATATTAGATAAAAAATATTTGATACATAGCCACCATAATCTTAAACTCAAAAAAATTTTAATGTTACATGGCAACTAAATAAAAAAATTTAAAAATAAAGTTTAAGAATTAAAATTACTAATACTAACGCAAAAAAAAAAAATTAAAACTGAATAGAAATATTTAAAAAACAAACTAATAAAAATTAACTAAATGAAAATGAAAATATAAAAATAAAAGATCATTCAAAATATTAATATATACTACAAGTATATAAATAATACTAAAATAACAGCTGTACATTAAAATTAAATTAAATTAAAATTTTGTGATGCCTAAATCAATTTGTAGTATTAGTATAATGAAACAATGTTTCTATTGTTTTGGGGGTTTTTTTAAGACAAAATGTAATAGAAAATAGAATTTTAATTAGCCATTTATTGATTATTGGCCAAAATAATTAGTAGCTAGACTGTATTAGCCAGAATTTTAATATCAGTGCATCTTTAGTAAATCATGATTTATTTATTTAATTTGTTACGTCCCTTTTGTTAGACGGGGCGTAACAAATTGTTTGTTTGTTTATTTATTTTGTAACTGACTCTTCTTTAAATATTCAATTCACATAAATTCAGTTGTGAAAAACAGAACACGTCTATCAAAATGTAATAATTCATACATTTGTTCCATTATTTTCTATATCTGAATTGGCAAAGTAAAATTCTGCATTCATCAGCCATGGTGGCCGTGGGCAAAAAAATGTTCATTTTTGACCCTGATCCGTGAGGTCAGGCACTATTGTCGGTGGACTCGCTGTTCCTATTCATCCCAAAGGGGTTCAGGTCTGAACTTTATGAAGGCCAATCAATTTCTTTCTCACCACCAGACTTAGTAAATCATTTCTTTATGGACCTCATATCATGCTGGAAGAGAAAAGAGCCCTCTTCAAACTGTTGCCAAAATGTTGCACACCATGTTTTTAGAATGTCACTGTATGCTATAATTTTACGATCTGTCTGGAATTAAGAGGTTTAATCAAACCTGTTATCTAGAGGGTCCATATAGGGTGTATGTAACATTTCTGCTTTCATCACATGCTTAAAGGGATAGTTCACTCAAAAATTTAAATTGCCACCATTTATTCCCCTTATGTAATTCCAAATCTGGAATATAAAAGAAGATACTCGGAGAAAAAGTCTCCGTGTTTTTTGTCCATACAATGGAAGTCAACAGGCTTTAATGTTCCTACCATTCCTCAAAATATCTTCTATGTTCTGCAGAGGAAAGAAGTCAAACCGGTTCAGAATGACATGAGGTTGAGTAAACAATAACATAACTTTGTTTTTTGGGTGCACTTGCCCTTCAAGACACTTCAGAATGAGAACTTCAGTGACGCAGAACAGCAGATCAGGCTTCTCACCAGCTCGTGTTTCTTGCGGCTGGCTTCCGCTTCCTTCTTGGCCAGCTCGGCCATCTCCTCCTTGGCGTCTCGGATCTGCCTCAGGAGGCGCTTGTTCTGCTCTTTCTCCCGGTTCTCGCTGGCACTACGTTGGTCTCGTTCCTCAGTCAACTTCTCGAGATTCTCTTTCAGCCTCGCTACAAGGCTCTACAGAAGACAATCATTTATTTAACACATATACGGAGCAATAACATGCACCATCGCTTAAGTGTTTCTGGACCCACGGTGGTTGTTTACAGAATCCTGCAAGTCTAGCACTGAAATATGCAAGATTGTCAAGCTATCCATATGGTGTGAAACTCCAAATAACATCCACAGCAACTTTTCTGTGATTTTTCACACCAAAGGTGGGCTGCACTGGCATCGAAACAGAAATATCTACAGATTAGGAAAACAGACATTCTTTACAGCTTCGGATAGGCACGGTTTAAACAAGCTGCCTCTGGAGATAACATTGCCCAAGCCTGAACTAAGCTATACTTCCAACAAATCAGTAATAACAGCGCTTTTAAATGGCTTCTGTTGACAGATTTTGCTGTGGGTGCAGTAGACGTTTGTAATTTAGAGAGTGCCAATTGTAATTCTGTAGGTGAGTGGGAGCACCCAACAGAGATGAACGATGAAGAGGACTGGCGGTTGGAAAATGTCACTTAAGGAGCAAAAAAAAACCCATCAAATCAAACAATACAAAACGCTGAAATAATGTGCATTAGAGGAAACACATTAATTACACTAGTTGTGTACAATGCAAAAACCGATGACCCGCTGCCTCCGGCAACATAAAATATCACACATGAAATTAAATGTACATTTCCTCTTTAAAAGTGGGACTGACACTGTTGATTTGAAAAACACAGAGGGGGTCGGAAATATTCCACATTCAATTCATAGTGACATTTTTTGGTGGAGAATTGTAAAACACTTTTAGTACAAAGGTTAAAGGTCTATAAAGCGTGGACCAATGTGGAAGGCCTTGTGGGTGTGTAGATTAATTTCACCCTTATCTGACACTTCAATGCCTGCACGCTGACCTTTTGACACTTCCAGCATCCCACATAAACACATGCATCCTGCTAACTCACCTCCAAGCGTTTGACCTGTGTCTTCTCGAACTCCAGCTTGGTCTCCAGCTCACGGATCTTGGCCTCCTGCCGGCTGACCAGAGACTTGTCCACCATGGACTGCTCTTGGAACTCTAGCTGACTCTGCAGGGCTGTGAGCTGCCAAACACACACATACGGAGTGAGAATTCACACAAATACACTGAGAAAGGACAGCAATCTGTATTTCATGGAAATACTGAATACAACTATTACCTGCTGAGCAATGACTCAAAGAGACAAAGCCCTCACCCCCACGGGGTGTCTTTAACGAGGCCTACCTGGTTTATCAGCCTTTAAACCGGCTCTGCCGCTCTACATCGAGTGATAAGTCAAACCCAGTTCAGACCAGAATTGAGGTTCTGATACTTGCTCAATTATACAGGTCTCAAATGCCTCAAATGTCTTATTCAAACCCCATCACTGTGCCATGTCTGCATATAGCCACAGTCGTTTCAAAGAGTGAGAGTGCAGTGTCAAATGCTGAGAGGGGAAGACTGATTCTATAATTAAAGAGTTAAATACTGAGAGACAGGGGTGGAGCACCAAATGTTGGGCCCCAGTCACACAACCAAGAAGATGGGCCCCTCACAACACCATATTATCATCATATTAATAATAATAATCATTATATCATTATGGGCCACCCCCTCGCCAAGGGCCCCTGTTACTCAGTTCCACTATTACCCCCTAGCCGATGCCCCTGCTGAGAGAGGCGGAGTCTGAGCCTATAATTAATGATTCAAATGCTGAGGGGGTGGAGTCTGATTCCATCATTAAAGAGTCAACAGTTGAGGGGGTGGAGTCTGTTCATATATTTAAAGATTCTGAGTTGAAAACAGAAAGATTCTGTAAAGATTCGAAGTCTGATTCCATAATTAAAGTCAACTGTTGAGGGGTGGAGTCTGTTAATATCATTAAAGATTCAAATGCTGAGGAGGTGGAGTCTGTTCATATCATTAAAGAGTCAAACGTTGAGAGATCAGAATTTGTTCATATAATTAAAGATTCAAATGCTGAGGGGGTGTAGTCCGATTCCATCATTAAAGAGTCAATGGTTGAGAGGGTTGGAGTATGAGCCTATCATTAAAGATTCAAATGCTGAGGGGGCAGAGTCTGGCCATATAATTAAAGATTCAAATACTGAGGGGTGGAGTCTGTTCATATCATTAAAAAGTTAAATGGTAAGGGGGCGGAGTCTGATTCTACATTAAAAAGTTAAATGCTGAGGAGGCGGAGTCTGATCGTATAATTAAAGATTCAAATGCTGAGGAAGTGGAGTTTGATCATATCATTAAGAGTCAAATGCTGAGGGGCCAGAGTTTGGTCATATAATTAAAGATTCAAATGCTGAGGGGGTGGAGTCTGATTCTACATTAAAAAAGTAAAATGCTAAGGAGGCAGACTGTGATCACATAATTAAAGACTCAAATGCTGAGGAAGTGGAGTCTGATCCTATCATTGAAGAGTCAATGGCTGAAAGGGGCAGCGTTTGGTCATATCATTAATAAAGAGTCGAATGACCTTAGTTCACCTTAGACAGAAATAAATCAATACAGTAGCTGAATTATGCTTAAGTCCACTTAGGATGTACTCTAAGAATGTAAGTAACAGTGTTGACTTTGTGAATATGCATTTCTGTATGGATGCTAAAGTGAATTCACCTTCTCCTGGACGTCCTGTTTCTCCTTCATGGCCTCCTCCAGCTGGGCCTGCAGGTCACTGATCTGGGCCAGGTTCTGTGAGGACTGCACAAGAACACACCACAGAGGGGTCAGAGTCTTCTACACGTCACAGGACAACCTGAATCTACAGTCCCTTCATATTTATCCAAAGTCATTTATCATGCTTTATACTTGATATCTTTAATGGTGCACATTTTCTGTATGAAATATACAAATGACTGAAATAGAAGATCGGTTGTTGTGGGGAATTTTGCATTGTTTATAAAGATGGACTACATTTTCTTTATTCTATTGATGAATACTGTCCGGTATACCATTTAAAAAAACAGCATGTAGAGAACATACCAAAGAAGTGGGCAATATGCACTATGATCATATGTTATTTTGGTGATATATCTTACAGCATACTGCAAACCATTTAACTACTGACAGACAAGCAATCTTACGGTCTGTTAATGACATCTCAGAGAAAAATGGCAGCAATAAATGGCATGTTAACAGAAGCATGAGTGAAATGAAGCGGAGAGAGAGTTAACTACGAGACTGTCTAAATGCCTCAAGTATGATTGTGACTGTGTTTCAAAACCTGTGCAGTGTTCCCATAAATGAACCATAGAGCTGGTGAAGTAAACCCAGGGGAATAGGGCTGTTCCATTGGAGAGGATCTGTTTACTTAGGGTCTGTGAAGACACATCACTCATCTCTACATCGCTGCCATAGCAGCATGCTGTGTTTAAAACACTCTTAATGACAATCAACCCACGCACTCAAATACACGACAGTCGCTGCAGTGACACCTTCACACTGGCACGAGCGACCAATCAAATAGAGAAATACAAAGTGGTCTATCTGTACACGCTAAATGATGTTGTCGATTTGATTTGCATGATGGAAGCATGTTGCAGAGAAACAGCAATGAATCATACTGGAAAATGTCAAACATGCTGAAATGATGTAGCATGCAATATGCACGGTGTCAAAAACTATATAATCAAAAAGGACAACACAACTGTGAATAAAAATGCTTTTTAGGCCTGTTTCACACTGCTCTTGCTATGCAATAGCACTCTGCTTGCTGTGAATGCTGTAACCTGTGAAATATGGCTTCGTAAAACATGTGCAGTGTGAAAAATGCCTCACATATACATATATACACACTATATATCACGGATATATATCCATCTATAAATCTGTGATTTAATATATATATATATATATATATATATATATATAAATTAAAATATATTTAATTAAATGTCATTTAATTTGATGTATAATTAACAACATTTTATTCATATTAAATTTTTAGGATACAAAAAAAAACATAAATGTACATACACGTACATGTACATCTACTCTATGTGCGATGATGACAGAGAGGCTCTGTATAGCGATCTGACAAGCATGAGTGCCTGAGAGTTACCTGGGCAACAGCGGCTTTGTGTTTCTTCATGAGTTCGTTCATGTCCTCCTGATCCTCCTCCATGCGAGACTGCAGGTCATTCTTCTCCCTCTGCAATCGACTCAGCTGCTCCTCAAGCTACATGGAAATCAAACAAAAGCATAAGACAAACACAAATATGACTGCAAATTGAAATAAAAAATGTCTGAGAAATGGAAAATCAATCTGATTGAAATGTTTGACGTTTTAGCAGGCCTTAAGTTTATGCATCAGGAACTGATTGGGTGCCAGAATGTTTTTTTTAGCTATTTTTATTAATAAAGACAGCAGCGAATAGGCCACAGACTCAATGCAGTCAGACTCAAACCTCTGCCCTATGCATGTCAATAACATAAGCATGTAACCATTCTGACTTCAGCAACTGAAAGCCCAGCTCCTTTAATTCCTTAAAGAGATAATTTTCCTGTCACCCCATCACTAAACAGTAGCTGCTTGCATTGTATTGTACTGCCTGAGAACACAGCACCGTCTCCCAATTAGAGATGAACATTTCAATGCCTGCTCTGTCAAACAGTATCAGAGGTCAATAATAATTACCTCAACAATACAGGCAGCTAATCTCTGAGGAGTAACTTTCAAATGTATTAGTAAAAGCAAAAAATGTAGACGTCGCACATTACTTATGAATTAGTGAGCATAAAAGCAGGAAATTACATTATTTTGTAAAAACATCCTCATGAAAGCAGTTTGCAATTTCTTTCACACATTCCATCTCTTTAACAAATCAAGACAAATGAATTAAAATGAAAGGGGTTATATTCTGCACTTTTTAAAATAATTTTACTTGTTTCCCTATTATGCACCAAAAATATCACCATTTTTACCCTCTTTGATCAAAAACAGACTCCTACTGTTTCTTTAAAATGCCTAAAAGTGAATGACTTGGTTAATCTCACTAAATGTGAAAATTGGCATATAAAACAGTTTGGGATCAGTAAGATTTTTTTTAATTAATCATTTTATGCAGCAAGCACACATTGAATTGATTTGAAGTGACAGTAAATACGTTATAATATTATTTATAATATTACAAAAGATTTTTATTTCAAATAAATGCTGTTCTTTTGAAATTTCGATTCATCACAGAATCCTGGAAAAAATGTATCATGGTTACCACAAATATATTAGGCAGCACAACTGTTTTCAACATTGATTTAAATTGTAATAATGTTTTATGGTATTACTGTTTTTACTGCATTTCTGATCAAATAAATACAGCCTAGATTATCAAAAACATTAAAAAAAAAAACTTACTAGGCCCAAACTTGGGAACAGTATAAAATAGAATAAATTACATTTGGTAATGCATTCAAATAGAAAAGAGCTGTTGTTAATTGTAATAATATTTCACAATATTACAGTTTCTTAAATAAAAGTATTGGTGAGCATAAGAGACTTCTTTAAAAAGTTTAAAATCGCACAACCTCCAACTTCTGAACAGTAGTGTGAATGTTTGTGGCCATATGATAGTGTGCTTGTGGTAATGGCATCAATATTATGATGATTTCTCAATAACCCATTTTTTAAGTTTTTATAAATGACATACATGGACTGGCTTTGCAGGATTATGTCTACATAGAAATGAAAATCCAGTTCTCTTTTAACACAAGATACTGCTAAAAGATATTCCCTATGGTCTGTACTGTTCCATTTCACACCTTTAAACTCTGTCTGGCAGGCGTATTGTATCAAACCTATGTGCCACCTTCAAATCCTCTAGTGGAAATCCATGAGCTCCCGGGGAGGGGAGGGGAGGGGTGACAGACAGACCTGAAGCTAATCACACAGTGATCATGACCAGACCATTTATCACGGCCTTGCTAATCAATATGACAATATTTAGAAGAGAGACGGGTTTAGCAATGCCCACAAAAACACTGCACCAAAACAATGCTTCAGCGTGGCTGCGGCTTTATAGAAAATTAAAATGTTCACTGCACCCTTCTGTCAGAGTGTCTCTTGCTCCAGAGAGCTGAGCAAATATGACAGGCGGCGAAACAATATGGAGACAGTGTCAGGGGAACAGCATCTGCAGAATTTGGCTGCATCCGTCTCTCCTGATATCACTTCATAATACGCTACAGCGAGGACACAATTACACAATTTTCTCCACGTTGAAATAACACTGAATCAATGACAGAATTATTAAAGTATAATACATTTCACGCCGATACATCCTGTTCAAATTAGAGCCGACATCGGAAGCGTGCCATTATGGGCGGAAATCATTTCCCCGCGGTAAATAATTGAAATGACATCCTGGCTGCCACCTATGGTGAATGAAGACAGGTAGTGTCCTTTGTCTCTGTGTGTGAGATGACTCTAATATAAAAGAAGCAAAACGACTCGGTTTTGTTCTTTTTCAAACACAGACAGACTTACCGCCTGCTTGGATTTAGATATGTCATCCATTTGGACATGGAGGTCCTCGATCTCCACTTCCATTGACTTTCGGGCTTTGACTGCAGCAGCACACGTGAACTCCGATTCCTCGAGCTGTGAAGAGCACACACGCACATAAATAAAATGTATGTTCATGACTGGATGTCATATATGATGTGTTAACTACAGAACCCAGGGGAGCCGAAGAACAGACCTGGTTCTTGAGCTGAGCGATCTCTCTCTTGCTGGGAGCATTGTTCTTCAGGTGATCCAGCATGATCTGGGCATCAGCCAGCAACGCCTTTGTGCGCTTCAGGTCTTTCCTCAGACGCTTTTCTGTTTCCACATCTCTGTGGCTCACCTGAAAACACCAAAGACAGTTTATATACTGGCTATATATAAATATACGCTTTAAGCCTAAACCTGTAATGGAAATACACATTTTATTACATACATATATGTAATATTTAATGTGTAAAAATTTAAAAGAAAACAAAATATCATTGCTGTAATAAATGATATTTATTTCTATGACATACAGTGAACTTTTCATGTCAGCAGACAATATTCCATACAAAATATCCCCGCAAAATAACTGCATCAATTAGATTTTTGGTGGAGTAAACTATTTATTCTGAAGCAGTATTTTCATCAGTGTTCTATCAGCTTTTACATACTTAAATCTGCATATTTACCTTTACAAAGGCCTATTTTTAACCTTTTTAGATGTATGCATCATCTTACAAAACGCTGTCATGTTGCTCAGAGACGCAAAACTGAGAATTTTGGTTTGGAATTATTTTTGTTGGCGAAACAGTGCAAAAACAGGCAATATGGTGTCTAAAACGTAAGTCTCTTAATAAAACATCTAGTTTATTGAACTGTTGTAAAACAAATCAATATTACATTTGTATATGGTAATTTTTGGATAAAAAGCACTCGTCAGTGTGAAATTGATTAACTATATGAAGTGGTATAAGTATACACATTTTCTGCCCACATGTCTTGAATTTGTGATCATTCTGAATGTATTTTAATAGACTGAATCATGCAGTGATCAGGCAGAGCGCACTAGACGTCACGTAATGCATGCACTCTGTAGGTGTTTTGAATGTTTTTTTTGCATCATGAGAATATTGAGCAAAATAGCTCACTTGTCATGGTGTTATTTAACTATATTATGTTATGAATAAACTAAACATTTAGAATTTTTACCTCAGTGTGTTTCTTCTGAAGTTGTGTGCTGTCACGCTCATTTGTTCTGAAGTCTCGAGACAAACAGAGTGAGCCTCAGCGTGACCTTGTATTCTGTATCCTGCTAACTTACTGCAATTCTCTCTGATGACGCAGTAACTTACCGTGGGAAGAAAAAATCTTCGGTCTGTCCAATGATTGTAAACAGTCATTAGGTCCGTCAGACTGAAGATATTTTAGCGGTAATGAGACCAAAAATATTTATACAAACATTTTAAGACTTTTTAAGGCCTTATATTAGGAAAACATTATTTAAGACATTAAGACTTTTTAAGGACCCGCGGACACCCTGTTATATTAATTAGAATCTTCTTATATATATATATTTTTTTTAAATGTATTTATTTTTTCATTTTAATGTCGCAAGTCATCTTAAAAAGAACAAACAAAAGTGTTTTGTTATCCCGGTGGATAAACCAAAAAATTTATTTACATGATTTGCTCTACTAGTGCTAAACCAGAAGTTTGGCGATGATTTGGAATTACCCCAAAAGTGTGAAATGAGTTATTAGCATTTTTGGTCTGTGATTTACAGAAAGATGTTACATTTTAAATGTGTATACAGTACTGTTTAAAAGTCTGGAGTTGGTAAGATTTTTTTGAATGTTTCTGAAAGCTTGTATGCTCACCAGGGCTGCATTTGTTTGATTAAAAAAAAAAAAAAAAACAGTAATATTGTAAAATATTCTTACAATAAAATGTAATTTATTCCTGTGAGGGCAAAGCTCAATTTTCAGCACCCATTACTCCAGTTTTCAGTGTCACATGAACCTTCACAGATCATCTAATTATCTAATATACATTTTTAATTGGATTCTTTCTATTCTTATAAATATAAAGTTAAAAAGAATTAAGCATTTGTTTGAAACAGAAATCTTTTAGAACATTATAAATGTCTTTACTGTCACTTTTGATCAATTTAATGCACCCCTGTTGCATAAAAGTACTATTATCTTTAAAAAAAAAATTTGTATTGACCACAAACTTACAAAACATTTAATTTTGGTTCTTTAAACAAAGTCTGTCAGAAATAAGTGAATAAAAACTAAATAAAATAAAATAAAATAAAAATTACAAAATGACAAAAATTCACTTAGGTGATATGCAAGCTTGTTCATATTTATTTAAGATGTGCTAGTTATCATATTTGAAACCATATTTCAAATTTTGATATAGTACAGTATACAGTAAGTTGAGTGCTGTACCTGGTCTTGAGCGCTCATCAGCTTGGCTTCCAGGTCTCTCCTCTCCCGCAAGACCTTCTGCTTCTCTTCATACTCCTCCTCCAGCTGCACCTCCATTTGCTTGAGCTGCTCACACACAAGCATAGTAACAGAACATCATGGAGGGCTTTGTGAAGTAGGTTTGCCTTGAGGAGTCAATCCAATTATATACCATCATTCCAGACATATAAACAAATTCGCTAAATGTGTCTTTAGATGCTTCTGAGCACCTTCAAGTGTCAATCAAGGCACTCAGTTGTGAGAAAGAAGGGTAATTATGGGATGCACTGTACTGGCAGCTTGATTGGTTAAGTGGAGAGGAGGGAAAGGTGAACTATACGTGAGGAAAATAAAATAGCGGCCCCCATGAATTATACATCAAAACAAAACTCAATGAGTTCAGCTTATCTGTACCTCAGCGGCAAAGACACTCCACAAATGTGAAAGCCGCTATCTGCAACTAGAGCTGCGCTGAACAACGCTGAATGGACATTCTTATTCAACACATGGCCGAATATGTCTTGTTTATTTATGTTGTACAGGAGTTGAAATGAGCTCTGCATACGAACTGAACATCAGCAATTAAAATGTTATAAACTGAACTCACCTGACCTTCTGAAACCAGTTGTAAAGTATTCTGAGCATGTTTAAGTGTGTTAGCTGGTGACTTGTACATGTGTATGGAAGCTCTAAAGGCTATTATTAATTTTTTTTTGTAATCATAATTTTCTCATGATTTTGACATAACAAAAGATGTTTTTCTGAGATATCGACTTATTTTGCAGCGATCAGAATAAATTCAGGGCAACCTTTGAGTCTTCATCATGACAAAACTTGTGTTATTAAAAGAAAATAATAATAATAATAATAATAATAACTGCCAAATCGATTAAATGCAATTAATCACATCCAAAATAAAATATTGTGTTTACATAATGTGTATGTGTACTGTGTATATTTATATGTATAAATACACATACATACATGTGTATATATTAAAGAGTTATATACATATATATATATATATATAAATAACAAATATTTATAAATATATATTTACTATATTATATAATAATAACATTATATAAAAATCATATAATAATAAATATAATATATATATTTATTATATTATAAATATTTATACATATATAATAAATATATTATATAATAATAAATATATATTTATTATATTATTATAAATATTTATACATATATATTTATATGTATATATAAATACACATACATACATACATGTATATATTAAAGACAGTTATATTATATATATATATATTATTATTATATTATATAATAATAACATATAATAAATATATTATATAATAATAAATATATATTTATTATATTATTATAAATATTTATGCATATATATTTATATATAATATGAATATTTATATACACGTAAATATTTATTAAATATATACATGTGTGTGTATTTATATATACATATAAATATGCAAAGTACACACAAATTATGTAAACACAAACTTTTAATTTGGACGTGATTAATCGATTTGACAGCACTAATAATAATAATAATAATAATAATAATAACAACACTAAACATTTTGATAATATAGTAATGCATTAGTTAACAGTACAGTAAAATATTTCACTTCATACTAATATTTACTGTAAAAAAAAAAAAAAAAATATGATTTAATACATATATTACCCAACATTAATATTAATAGCATAATTAATTCATAAATTAATAATAATACTAATATTATTACTACTACTACTACTACTATTAGTATTATTGATTTTCTTTTATTTACAAACAGCTCCACAAAATTCAGCATTTGCATAACATGAAGACTGAAATTTAAAAATAAATTATATACATCTATAATTTCATTCATACATACAATGAAGCTAACATACCGAAGGTTGTAATGATTATTAGCAGTTATTGTTGTATAACAGCTGGTTGACTGTATCATACCTTCTTGCTGCAGGACTGTCTGATCTCCTCCACCTCGTCGTCTTTGCTCTCAATCTCTTTTAAATGCGTCTGTCTCAGTCTCTCCATCTCCATCTCCAGACGGAGCTTGGCCTGCAGGTCACAACATCAACAGCTCAGTGAATACAAATCCACACCTTCTGCAAGCATACATGCATTGGAATCCAGTGGAACAGGCGCTATATGCATACAGATGCATATGCAAAATATCCCTGTCGCACAGGCCAATAAAACTCTTTGTAATTATTATTATAATGTATGCAGACTGTGAGTATTGACAGTTTCTTCATACCGACACATCAGCTGAATTTACATGAATTAGCATATTACGCATGACAGGTGAAAATTGTGTGCATGGAGAATGTGCATCATTCCAAGAAATAATACATTAAACATCAGGCAGCTCAATCCAATGTATATCCTTATTCTCATGACATGATGTCACGAGTGTACAGCTGGTTGGAGTGTGGTGTGTGCATGGGTTTACTTAGACAAAGTTTGAAAACAAAATTGTTGCAAAAGTTAGTGAAAATGAATAAAGTTCTGACCAAGATTAAAAAAGTGTGTTGGTGTGCGAGTTTGATTACCTGCTCCAGCATCTGAATGGTTCCAGCCTGTTCATCAAGCTCTTCTTCTTGATCTTTGACCTTTGACTCAAGGTCACGAAGCTGCTTTTTAACCTTGGCCAGTGATGCTTCATCCTTTGTCTCCTGCGAGTTCAGATCTTGAAGCTCGGCCTCCATTTGCTCGAGCTTCAGATTGACAGCACATATCTCCAGATCCTTATCCTGAGAGAGCAAAGAAAAACTCATTTAGAACAACACAGTCTGGACTGAGCACACACGGGTACGTCACAGCCAGGAAAATCTGTGAGTGCGAGACAACAAAGGAGGATGATATAAGAGAGGTTGCTGACCTCCAGTTGTTGTCTAAGGCTGAACACTTCCCCGGTCAGCATGCCTTTCTCTCTGCTCAGTTTCTCCCGCTGACTCTTCTCTCTCTGCACCTCCTCCTGAGCCTGAGTCTGCTCTGAGTCAAACCTGCAGACATTGCATCCACACAAAAACACACACCATCAACAAACTTAATCTTAAAAAAAGAGGAAACAAAGGTACAAAGACACTTTCCAGATGCTTTACTCTCTCTGTTCCGATGTGGTGGAACGAACTGCCATATTGCACCTGATCTGCTGAGACCAAATAAATCACAAATAAATTCCACAAGCACTAAACTACAACCACGATAGCCCTTCATATAATACTAAATATGAAAAAAATTATCCACCTAATTCTTCAATGTGGAAGTAAGCCTATGGGCGAGACTTCCGGTTCATTAGCCGCTATAGGGAAATAACGAGAAGAATTACAACGTGCAGTAAATGATAAACTGTTTGCACTACAAACCCGTGTGTTCAAAGTTAAGATAATACCTTAAAATAATATGGTAAGACATATTGCAAGTAATATGCAATATCAAACAGCAAAACGAGCGGTTTTGTACAGCTAAAAATATCTGGAAGCGAATAAGACCGGAAGCAAGACCCATAACATTTTACAATTGGCCCATTTTTACGGGAAGAATAAGATGGATAAACAATTGACACTTCGCAAAGACCCACCCCCCTTAGTTACTGCTGCATGTCCAACAAGCCCAATGGCACGTTCACACCACACATTATGTAAAAATACTTCGCAGAGCAAAGAGGACACTGACACTGTGCCAACAGACAAGACTCAGCTTTCAAATTTTGTAATTTTTTTAAGTTCAAACAAGAAATACCATTTTGTGGCTCTTTACTGTACCGTGACAGATCGCTGCAGTTCAAGCAGGACGTGAACTGTTCATCTCTTCCTCTTTACTAGTTATAGCATGAAATAAACATGAATGAACATCAGAAGGTATCTTGTTTCAACCGCGGAAAGTCAATACACAAGTTTTTTAAGTTCAAGTCCACCAACTTTCATCTACTCTCCTGTTTGGTTTGTTTATCGGACAAAATGGCAAACTTGGCATTATGACTGGTCAGACTGCCTGTCAATCAAACTCCTAGCGAAGGGTCCATTAGAATAAAATCACAGGGAAGTTAAAGCGATAGTTCACCCAAATAAGAAAAGTGTCATCCTTTACTCACTCAGTTTTGATTACTACTGATTTCCACTCTACGGACAAAACACACCAAGACATTATTCAAAATACCTTCTTTAATGCATCACAGAAGCAAGTCATAGTTTTAGAATTTAAATTTTTGGGTGAACTATCAAGCAGATGTTACAAATTTTTGAGCCAATGTCAATTTTTCTTTTTTTTACACTATTTTCATTTAATTTTTTTCAGGGAACAAAGCAAATATTGTTTAACAAAGAAATAAATACCCACAACCCACATTAAAATTTAATTTAATAGAAAAAAACAGTGTTATTTTAGAAAGTTTTGTTAGGTATGACAGTTTTTGTCTATGACAGTATACAGTAGTTTATCTATTTCTGCCATTAATAAAAATTTATTTCATACAAGTTGCTGCCATTAAATTGTATATTATGATTACATCTGCCTCCCTGCTCTTTAGATATCAGTATTTGCCATAGAAAAACCCATATTAGTTGACCACTAGTCAAAATATATACAATACAGCAATTAAAGCGAATTTCTAATTCTTGAATCACTAATCTCTCTAATCACTATAATCAAAGCACAAGTTTAATGTGAAAAAAGGTTTTACCAAAAACAAATAACATGATACAAAACAACAAAAAAATAGCATACTTGCTTTTCCTAAAATAGCCAAGCATAGCAGAGTGTTGAGAAACTAAAATTCATCTAAGCGTTACAGTATTGTGTGTGACTCGTGTGTCAGGAGGGGTATTAGGGAAGAGCGTTCTGATTGGGTTAACTTGCAAGTGGGTAACAATGAGCGAGGAGGGGGGAGTTGTGATGCTTTGGGGCAAATCGGTTTATTCTTTTCCTAGTTCTCTCTTGTTCTCCACCCCCTTCTCTCCGAGGCCCTGTTATGATCCCATAAATGAGTCTTATGCAACTCTTTGTGTTAATCCGAGCCCCACAGAGAGATGAAGGACCGCTCTCCTTGCCCTCCCCCATCTCTCCTACTGGCTAAATATGCCGTCACCCTGAGCCTCGGGCCGATCATTTCATTTAGAGTGGACTTTCACACATCCCCTCCGCAGTGGCATGCACAGCCTCCGCCTGTTTACTCAAGAGTCTAAAGAGACTTAGCTGCAGCACCTTCACACACCACCATCACTCTGCTTACAGCCTTCTGGCTCTGAGTAATAGTCTTACAGATTTAATTTTGAGATGCTTGTTACTGAGGCACTGTTGGACTATTCTTAAGGCTTGTTCACACCAAGGATGAAAACTGTAACTATAATTGTTCTAATTCTATGAGTAGAGAAGTCCACACCACAACTACAACAATAATGGCACAGAGAAACAATATCACTGGATTTTTTTCAGAACAATTTTTCCAGCTGACAAACGATGAATACATTGAAAGCCGATAAGAATCCACCCAGCTTTTGTGCATTTAAAGCAGCAGACAACATAACCGCAGTGCACGCTTATAATATACATAACTTTATTTTCTGTTGGTGTGGACACTAAAATAATTATCTTTATAGTTATCATTTTTGGTGTAAACAGGCCTTACTCACACTTCCATCGTCAAGTAATTCTACTGTCCTCAAAGTTGCTGTGTGAAACAAACCACCAAAAAAATCTGACGATTAACAAACTAGAGTAAGATTAAAAATATATATAGATTTTCCAATTTATTGTGATCTTCATTTGATAGAGATTTTTAAAATCCTAAGGTGTTTTTTTTTTTAGTCAATACCTATTTTCAGTAGTTGTGTTTTGCAAGATTAACTCGTTCAACCACACAGTGTAGACTGTGTTGTTGTTTAAAATGATTTTTTCATGATATTCCAAGTTAGAAGGTTGGACAAAGAATTTTAATAATGGGCTCAAATAAAGAGCTTACAGGTTTGAATCAGTTTGGAAAACTCTTCTGAATAATTTACAGCCTTAGCAGAAAGAGAATTTGTTTCAGTATGTTTCTTTCAAGCAAATGGTCATCATAACGTAAATGCACCCCAAGGAATCATAATGAAATAACACTGAAATGGAACTGAGAGCCTGTGAATCAGAATCGAATCAAATCCACAAATCTGTACTGATTCCCATCATTATAGCATACAGTTATGAAGAACAGGATTTTGGGCCAATGAAATTCCACTTTGGGTGGGAACATACGAGCACCAAAATACCTTGCTGCTCCATGAAATATCAATTTCTTAACTCTTGATAGTAAATCTTTATCTAGTCTGACTCACTTTCGCTGTTTTTTCTCCAGGTCGTGGTTGCGGCTCTGCTGCCCCTCCAGGTGCAGTTTGGTGTCCTGCAGCTCGGCTGTCAGTCTCTGACATTTCTTCTTCAGCTGCTGCGCCACGCGCTGCACCTCTTCATTGTCCGCCTGCAGGTCTGTCAGCTAAACACACAGATTCTCAGTGAGTCTGTACAGGTGGATCTGTCCATCCAGTGTGTGTCTTGTCTAGATGTATGAGTTTCAACTAATACATTCAAGCTTGAGACAGTACATGTTGTTGTGTTGGACCACACTGACATATGAGTGAAGTCTGAGTCTTTATGATGTGTTGGTTAGTTTGGTAGAATAAAGTCAGAAGGGATGCTGGAAGGGATACTGATTTCCACAATTAAATGAAAATAATAAAACAAAACAAATCTAACATCTAATAACATATGAAACCGATATTGTGTACCAGACCAGAGCTGTCAGCGTTCGAGTGTGTAAAAATGTTATTTGCGTGTCTAAGACGCCCTTACCTTTCTCTCCAGCTGCCTCTTGTTTTGCTGCTCCACTTCTAGTTTGTCATCGAACTCTTGCTGGAGTCTCTTCTTGGTAAACTCGATCTCTCTGATGGCTCTCTCATACTTGAGCCTCCATTCTCCTCCTGAAAACACAGTCAGCAATGATTAAGGCCACACAATTCATTGTGAAATGCCCTTCACTGTAAAAGGCTGTTATTTAATTAAACAAATATGTCAGTGCTTCAAAGCGAAGTTGCGGCACTCTTTTGTCTGCTGCACATAGCCCAAGTACTCCATCTCAACAGGTTCAGTGCACTTGTAGTTTGTGGTGCAATTAGAGATGTCAGATGTCGATCATAAAGCAGTTAAATCATATTATTTGGAATCATAATTTCAATATGATTTTTGAGATGAAACACTGCGTGCCAGATTGTCCGCGGTCATTCCCTAAAGAGAGCCAAGGTTTAAACTATGACCTCTGCCAGGGAAATTTCACTGCAATCCTTTTGATTATGGCTCACACAAAATCCCATTCTGTGAATTTGACAGATATATAACAAACTGGGAAAAAATGCAAATATACACAACTTAATAAATCAAAGCAAAAAAATGAAATGCTCTGAAACCTAGATATGAGAGGTGGCTTTAGCGATGGCATGCCGAATGGAGGCAATCCACGTCACCATTAGAGAAGGTAATTGCTGGAAAGGGAATAAATCAAATGTCCGTGGATTAGCATTAAGCCTTAGAGATCAGCTGCATGACACAGAGGTGAGAACAAGCCGTCACCAGTCTGACACATGCATTTAAATGAGCTCAGTTCAAGACAGCAGTGATTCTAAGAACAGCACTACTGAGTATGATCACGGTCAGGCTTTCATAGAGAACAACATGAGAAGAAATAGAAAGGACTGAGGAAGAAGTAAGAGTAAGTGTGTGTATGTTGAGGGGAGAAAGAGAGACACTGAGAAAAACAGAAGCCACTTTCCAGGAATAGGGTGTAAAATATGGCCTAAAGTAATTATTTCCCTTTTCATCAAATTTATAGTGAAAGGAAGTGCTTAACCCTCAGAAATACTGATCATCAACCTCAGATCATCAAGGTAAACTGACAACTAAGCCAGACAGTTATATTTTCTTTTTTATATAACATTTGCGATTTGTGCAATTTTTCCAAAGAATAGCATTTGAAACTAAATACATATTAATATTTTAATACATTTGTAGCGTCTGGACCAATCAAACACACAATATATATTTTGTTAGCTATATTTGGTTGGATTCTGAGAAGATGAAAATGCGAGCTACAACGCTCCAGGACACCCTAAGTTTGTGCCAGGCCTCGGGCCTTGACTTTTCCATTCATCAAGATTCTCTGACGCAAACTGGTTCTTTTTCATCAACCAACTTCAGCAAAGATCAACTTGAACCGT